CAGGATGCATCACACAGATTTATTTTCTTATACTCTTTGCAGTGTTGGACTTTTGTCTCCTGACAGTGATGGCCTATGACCGGTTTGTGGCCATCTGCCACCCCCTGCACTATATGATCATCGTGAATCCCCGGCTCTGTGGACTGCTGGTTCTGGTGTGCTGGATCATGAGTATCCTGAATTCCTTGTTACATTGCTTAATGGCATTGAGGCTGTCCTTCTGTGCAAACTTGGAAATCCCCCACTTCATCTGTGAACTCAACCAGATGATCCAACTTGCCTGTTCCGACACCTTTCTTAATAACATGGTGATGTATTTTGCAGCTGTCCTGGTGGGGGTTGGTTCTTTCCTCGGGATCCTTTACTCATATTCTAAGATAGTGTCCTGCATACGTGGAATGTCATCAGCTCAGGGGAAGTACAAAGCATTTTCTACCTGTGCGTCTCATCTCTCGGTTGTCTTATTATTTTATTGTACAGTGCTAGGCGTGTACCTCGGCTCTGCTGCTATCCAGAGCTCACATTCAACTGAAACTGCCTCAGTGATGTACATTGTGGTCGCACCCATGCTGAACCCCTTCATCTACAGTCTAAGGAACAAGGACATCAAACAGGCTCTGAAGACATTCTTTGTGAAGGAAACTACAAATAGGCCAGTTTGAAGACGTACCCCCGATGGCAGAGGTCAAAGTCTCAGAGTCAGACATAGAAGCATGGAACAGACTGTCGAATCTCAGAGGGAAGGCCCCGGGGGAGGGGAGGGGAGTGGGTGGGAAGAGATCAACCAAAGAACTTTTATGCATATATGCATAACCCCTGGACACAGACTGTAAGGTGGTAAAGGCATGCATGGGGCAGGGGCGGGGGTTGGCTAGAAGGGGTCAATGGGCAAAAAATACGGAACATATCTAATACTTTCAAAAATAAAGATATTTTTAAAAATAAAAGCAGTTTCTGAGTCCCACTCCAGAAGGGCCCAGTAATCTGCATTTACAATGATTAAAAATGATGTATAAACAGGTTGAAAATGAGCACACCTAGATAGTGGATGTCATTGCACAGATTATTAAGTCATTATTAGTTTAAAAACAGGGTGAGATCTGTATTAATGGAAATGCCATGATTTAATACATTTTTACTTAATTAAAAGCATACTAGTATGTCTTCTTAAACTGATGTTTTTCACATGAAAATAATTTAAGCTTATCAGCAATACTCAAATCCATTGATGAGTATAGATATAGCTTTGCAAAGAGATATTGAGCTATTCACTCTTGTTACAAATTGCATGAAAGGTAGGAATGAAGTGTGTCTTTGGATTCATTGGGGAAAAAGGCTCAGAATCAGATTCTGTGATTATCTTCAGACTGTGGAAGTAGAGCCTTCTCTTTCTACTCATTTCCTAGAATTTCCATTTCTTTGACCTTAACTTCTGTATTTAATTTCAGTAACTCACTTTATTAAACTTTCTTCTTTCCCTTATAACCTACAGTTTTCCCCTTTGTTGTTTTATTAGCTTCCCAAATTTATTTCCATCATGGCCATATACATAATGAGAAAGCATGTATTTTTTAGAATTTTTCTCGAGTGACAAATATTGTACCAAATGTTTTTTTTTACTAAAAGAATCATCCAGATATCCAAGATGGCTGCTTATGGGACAGCAGGCTGCAAGAGAGTGTGGGAGTGAGAGAGCGAAAGGAGAGTGCATGGACATGCAGGGAGTGCCTGTGTTTGTGAGTGAGGGACAGTTGTATTCCATAGGACTGTTGGGGACTTGTGGACCAGGCTCCCTTGCCCGGGCAGCCTCTACTACTACTGAAATCTCTCCCAGAGCGGCCAGCTCTGCCACAGAGACCACACAATCTTAAAGGGGAGAGCGGCTGTGATTGGAAGCCCAGCCTTACCCTCAACCAGAGACCAAAAAAATCAATACAAAATATCAATGAAACCAAGAGCAGGTTCTTTGAAAGTATAAACAAGATTGATGAACCTCTAGCCAGACTCACCAAGAAGCAAAGAGCGAGGACCCAAATTAAAAAATCAGAAAAAAAGAGGTGAACTAACAACAGATCCCACAGAAATATGAAGACTCGTAAAAAAATACTATGAGCAACTCTACTCCAAAAAACTGGTCAACTAGAAGAAATGGACATATTCCTAGAAAAATACAACCTTACAAAACTCAACCAGAAGGAATCAAAAAAATCTGAATAGGCCGATAACTATGGAGGAAATTGAAGCAGTAATCAAAAAACTGCCAGAGACACAGAAGCATGGAACAGACTGTCAAATTTCAGAGAGAAGGCAGAGGTGAATGCATAAAAGGAAAGAGATTAACCAAAGACCTTGTATGCATATATGCAAAACCCATGTGTGAGAATAAACAAATCATCTTTCCTGTCAAAGAACAGTTTAAACAACCGCCATTTTGGACGGCGGGACTTGGCAGCCGCCATGTTGGCCACATGGCTTGCAGCTCCCCTGGGGCCGCCATCTTGAAACAGCAAAGGCCAACCCCTCCCTTTGAATTAGCCAATCACG